ATATATATCTAGATATATATTTATTATTTCAGAGAGAAAGGGAGAGGGACAGAAAGACAGAAACGTCAACGATGAGAGAGAATCACTGATCAGCTGCCTCCTGCATGCCCCACACTGGTGATTGAGCCTGCAACCCAGGCCTGTGTCCTGACCCGCCTGGAATCAAACCATGACCTCCTGGTTTATAGGTCGATGCTCAACCACTGAGGCACACCGGCCGGGCAAAATCAACTTTCTTTTCCCGAGGCTACCCAACTGGATTCTTCTAGTGACACCAAAAATGTTACCTCCGTACAATGAGCACCCTTGATTTAGAAAGCAGATAAATTATGGACAAAGGAAATAGCTAGAACCCCCTCTATTACAAGTACAGTTAGAACTAACTATACTTAGGTAAGACCGCTACGACTTAAAATATCAGCGCTAGCTTCCACATGTGCTCAGGAGAAATTCAGAAAAGTCAGATGAAAGGCAGTAGAGGTAGCTTTTGCCAAAGTAATAAAAATACCTCAGAAAGAGATCAAAGTGCTTCAGTAAAGCCTTCAGGTTCTTCTCAGAAAAGGCCATCTTTCCAAGGATTTCTGGAAGTTTCACTGCATCGAAAAGAGAAGCAAAAGCATTTACCGTGGGCAGCATCTGGCAACGGGTAGGACACACCCAAGGACCGTCTGGGTCTGTTTGATCGGAAATGAACACCCACGTTATCAAACAAAACTAAGAACTCTGCATGAACACAAAGACACAGCAATAGTACAAAAATTACAAATATAATTTTTAGGAAATTTAAGATTTATGAAGGGCCTTTTTTTTAAGAGGTTCCCTTTCAGCAATTTTTCTTAGACCCCAACATTACCACAAGATGTACATAAGCTAACAAGTGTGTTAAAGCAAAAAAAAAGGGGGGAGGGGGGGAGAAAGCAGGGACCAGGATTTCTTACCAAACAATCGCAGCAAGTGTTGTGCCCCGTAAATGTACGAGGGTGGAGGCGGCTGGTCGCCCGGAGGGTAACTGTCCGGTACAAGTTTCCAGGAGAGGACCTGGGAAAGGCACAGATTGAACGCTCTGTTACTGCATCTGACCACTCCGTTAGCAACAGTCTCGACATCCGGAATCCCGGCAATACCCGTGTGCTTTGCCATTCTGTGCCCAATCACGTGTCACACCCCCACCCCCACCCCCAGCTTGCCGGCCCTCTGGCACCTCAGGAGTTGCTCCACAGCTGGACCAGGGAAGGGAGGAAATAGTGACCATTTCCTGACAATGTGGAAGTCCTGAAGAGGTAGCCCTCCAACTTCCCCATGGAGCTCTTTGTGGGTATGATCTCAGGACATAGGAGAATATAATGTGTTTTTATGCTGAAGAGGGTCGAGCTACAAAATAATTAAGTTCAACATAACACTTGCAAAAAGAAAGAAATGCACAATATAAAATATTGTGTAGAATTATTATGTAAATACATAGGGAAAACTATTAAGAAGTATATACCGAAATGTTAACGTTCGTTTTTTTTAGGGGTGGAATTATAATATAGGGATCATGAGAAGATAGACATATATGTTTTCCATATCGATTATATACTAGCATACATATTTTAGTTTTCTACTATAATTTTTCAAAACCTTTTTGCCTCTTAAATCAATCACAGGAGGATCCAACTTCCTTGGCAACATGGAGACACTTCTAATCATCTGAAAATTATGATAATAAATTAAGTAGAGGAAAAAAATGTCACTATCAAAATAATTATCAGCTTATAAAAATAAATAAAACTGTGGAAGAGACTTAAAATTAGATTAGGGAACTATTTGATTTCCTGATTTTCAACAGCTACTACCTATACATTAGCTGCAACTATTTAGGTCATTTTGTGCCTTTCCTTTATTAGAAATCCTGCTGTATTCGAGAATGAAGCAGTAAAAAAAGAGCCCAAGGATGTTTTGAGTAATATTACTATTGTTCCAAAATCCCGGAATTGCTGCTGTTATATTCACTTCGGAAGCTAATTTGACCCTCTGAATCAAGTGAAAATAGATGTTAACCTTGAAAATACCTACACTTTGACCTTTTACGGCAAGTCTGCTGACCTCCATCACCAAATGTCCTCTGCCTGGTACAGTCATCTGCCCCCAGACTCGGAAACAAGGGAATCCCGCCCCTGGGTGACACTGACAGAATAGCCTGCGGGCCTGAGACATCTCCTAAATCCTGGAGACACTCACTACCTACATCAGTTAAGTGGCCTTAAAAATTGAGTTTTAGCCCTGGCTGGTTTGGCTGGAGAGAACGTCAGCCTGCGGACTGGAGTGTCCCAGGTTCGATTCCGGTCAAGGGCACGTGCCCAGGTTGCGGGATCGATCCCCAGTGTGGGGCGTGCAGGAGGCAGCCGATCATTGATTCTCTCTCAGCATTGATGTTTCTATCTCTCCCTCTCTTTTCCTCCCTGAAATCAATAAAAAAAAATATAGATTAAAAAAAAAAGAGAGAGTTTTAGAATGAAGCTTCCGGGGCTGGGTGGGTGGGAAGAGATCAACCAAAGACCTTGCATGCATATGTGCATAACCCATGGACACAGACAACTGGGTGGTGAAGGCCGGGGGCAGGGGGCAGGGGCGGGCTAGAAAAGGGGACACATGTGATACTTTCAACAATAAAGATTTAAAAAAATAAAACGAAGTTTCCCCATCTGTAAAACGGAAATCCAGGGCAAGGTGAGAATATGAGGTAATTGAGGTCAAGTACCTGGCATAATGCTGACACACAGCACGCCCTCAAAGGGATGGCTATTAATATTATTAAGGATGAATTTTATATTTTTAAATGGTTGGGGAAATAGCAAAAAAAAAGAACAATGTCTCATCACACATGGGAATGATCTGATATTCAAATTTGTGTGCGTATTCAAGTCTTATTGGAGACAGCACACTCATTCATGTCTACAGTGTCTATGGCTACTTTTGGAGTTGGGCAGTCCTGTCAGACACTGTGTGGGCAAAGCTTAAAATATTTACTCTCTGGCCTTTTGCAGAGAAAGTGTCCCAACGCCTCTTCTATAAAATGAAAATACAGGAGGTCCTCCGATCGCAACAGTTCATTACAATGTGGATGAGATGCCTAGGAACTGAACTCTTGTGTGTATCCATTGGCCTGTGGCAAAACTGGTTTCATTGTATGTTGTTCTGCTTAAAGTCCAAGCACCTATCATGACGCTGAGTGAGGACTCACTATACTCATGTTTCAGTACTAACAGTTTCTTAAGATAAAAGCTACATGTAAGTGTAACAATGTTCTCGTTTTCGAAACCAAGAACACAGGGTTACACATCATCTGAACGACCCTGTTCACGTCCAGAGCAACAGAGCGCCTCTGAGGAAACCGGATTTCCTGCTACAGGAAAAAAGCAGCCGCGAAAGGCTCGCCGGGGAGGGTGAGCGGCAGACAGGCACTCTCTACCTCATTGATCTCATTAGTCCTTCTGCCTTCGAAGCTGGCGAACACCGCGCTGCCTTCCTTGCTGGGGGTCACGGGAACGGGTGAGGAGGATCTGCTATGCACAGGCGTTTCTTCGGAAGGAACAGATGTCAGTTATTCACTGAGAAGTCACATGGCTGGGGAGGAAAAACAGCTGGAAGACATTACAGACAGCAGAGGACTCACTCGTCTCTAACAATAAGACCCTCCTCTGACAACACAGCACCTAGAAGAGCGGTCGGCAAACTGCGGCTCGCGAGCCACATGCGGCTCTTTGGCCCCTTGAGTGTGGCTCTTGCACAAAATACCGACTTCTGCGCGTGGGCCACGAAGTTTCTATCGCAGTGTACGTGCGCGCCCGCACGTGGTATTTTGTGGAAGGGCCACGCTCAAGGGGCCAAAGAGCCGCATGTGGCTCGCGAGCCGCAGTGTGCCGACCACTGACCTAGAATATTATTTGGCAAAAAAAAAAGAAGAAAAAGAAAAGGACTCAACTATTAACAGTAGCTACAGCACGATAAACCTTGAAAACTTGCTGCTGAGTGAAAGGAGCCACAGACAGAAGGCCCACACTTTGTGTGACTCAGTGGGTCACCGGTCATGCCAGAGGCAGATCCAGACGGGCAGCAAACAAGTGGCGGGTGCCCAGCATCAGGGGAGGGAATGGGGCGTGACTGCCAACTGACCTGGTGACCCAGAGCTAACCCAGGAGCACCAAGCACCCAGCTACAGCCAGCATGTCCGACTCGGGCAGCAGGCGCTCCTGCCCTGCCTCCCGCAGGCTCCGGGGGGGCACGCCGGTGCCCAGGAGGGACCTACTCTTCTCCAGGTGCAGGAAAAGCTTGGGCATGCTGGCTGACGTGTCCTGCTGCCGGCGCTTGGGCTGCGGCGACGCGCTGCTCTCGGACAGCCGGTCGCTGTTGGCCGAGTGGCGCGTGGAGCGCCGCAGGGACTGCAGGGCCTCGGGCTCCGCCTTGCGCCGCTTGGGGGTGGCCGGCTCCCCGGTCGTCTGGCTCTCCGTGGACTGCGGGGTGGACGGATTCAACAGAGGCGGGCTGGGAGAGAGCTCCTCCTGGCTCCTAGGGAAGGAAGGGCAGGGTGTCGTGCGCCCGGCGTGGGGAACCTTTGCAGAACCTACGTAACGCCTGACAGCCTCAAATGTGTGGCAGCACACAGTGCGCCGGGGACACTGGGGACCTGGAGGTTCGGAGTAGGGCATGGGACACCAGGGCCTTCTTCCCCTTGGGGCGACAACAACAGGAAAGGAAGACAGGCTGAGAGAAGACATCACAGGCAGCGAGAGAGCCAGGAGGCAGGAAAGGAGGAGGGATGAAAGGGAAATGGGTGGGCCACCGCAGAGCACAGCGTGGCCAGGGGAAGCTGGGGGTGCCCTCGGCGGGGAGGGGGCAAAAGGCAGGGGGGTGAGCAGGCAGGAGGGGACGGACGAGTGGCCATCGCGAGACAGACCACGCAGGAGAGGCACGAGGGAGCAGCAGCAGCGTGTGCGGATGGGAGAGACGGTTAGGCCGGGGGCCCTTTGGTTTCCCTCCAGGGAGACGTGGGCGCGCTTGGTCAGCGACGGGGCGCACACGGTGACACAGCCCCGCAGAAGGGAAGGAGCCTTGACTTGAAGGCCACGGGTGGCTGGCCCTTCACAAGCCTCCTCGCGGAACAGTAACTGCTCCAGGAGGCCATGCTCCCCCGCCGAGTCCCACCACCAGCAAGCGAGGGAGCTACGCTCAGACCTCCATCTCCTACCCCTCGGGCCGTGCTCCCCTCACTCCACTGTTTTGGGGAACGGGGAGAGCCGCTCAACACCCACCCACGGTCCCCATGCTGGGACTTACCTACTGCTGCTGGTGGCACTTTCCTTAATGGGAAGAAAAAATTTGGACGAAGTCACCTTTTTATACTGAACTTGTTCGTACGGGTACAGCAAGAGCAACGGGAGAGTATAATCAAAGGTTATTCTTAATCCGTCCACCATCTCCTTGCAAAGGTCCACGCTGGAAGGATGAAAAGGAAGCGCTCAGAGATGCAAGACACAGAACTGGCCCAACGATCACAATGAGGTGGTACGTTTTTAATAAGGCAGAGTTTTAAACACTGTATATTACACCCACACACCTGAGGAATAAAATGAATCTAGAGGCCAACAACCACCAGGAATTAAATAGGAACAGTGGGCTTATGACAGAAAGCGCAGGGAGTCTGTAGAGATTTTAACTTACAACCCTGAACACACGAGTGCGCTCAGTGCCCCACAAGGAGCCCAAGCAGAAGGGGCGGGACCCATGAATGCCTCACCCCTGTGTGAACTTGAACACTCTACTTGTCCAACTCTACTCCATCCGGCTGAGACGCGTGCGCCGAGGCAGACCACGGGGCCAGTGACTCAGGCCAGAATAAAGGCCTGCTTGTAAACAAGCTTTGATCAAATCCTCCCTGCCCCTTCTGGTGCTTCTCACGGAACAAAGTTACCTCCAGGAATCAGATCCCTGCACAAACTGGTCCTGGTGTTGCATCCAGACAAGATGCAGTTTTTGAACATTTAAAAAAAAACAACATTTTGATACTAAGTTGCATATTAAGTGACATGTTAAACGAATTCGTAATACTGAAATGGAGACAGTGTTACCTCTTCTAAGTAACACTCACTTCTCTGATACACAGAAAGAGAACCATCCCCTGCCAGCCCCCGCTCCCACTCACTTCTTTTCTGCTGGGATGTAATTCACATTCATGCTGGCTTGGGACATGGCGTGATGATGCCGGGGCCGCTCAGTGGCGGAAAAGGCTGCATTGATCGCGAAATGCTTCACGTACGATTCCAAGATCGTGATGATGTTGGTCTGGCACGGAAGTTTCACTAACTGTCAACAAAAACAGACCCAGCTGCCGCACACACCCCACCGGATCGGCCACCTACTCCCGTGGTCGGCAAACTGCGGCTCGCGGGCCACATGTGGCTCTTTGGCCCCTTGAGTGTGGCTCTTCCACAAAATACCGACTTCTGCGCATGGGCCACGAAGTTTCAATCGCACTGTACGTGCGCGCCCGCACGTGGTATTTTGTGGAAGAACCGCACTCAAGGGGCCAAAGAGCCGCATGTGGCTCACGAGCCGAAGTTTGCTGACCACTGACCTACTCCAACCAACGGTGGTCTTGTCTGCATCACTTTTCAAACCCCAAACGAAAGCCTACTCAGTGCGAAAAGCAGCTTTGAAATAAATACACTTTGAAGCTCTCGGATGGTTTTTTGTGTGCCGATCATAGCACCCTGTACATGACAGCATTATTTTTTAAATGAATGCGAGCAGCGAGCCTCCTGTTAGCCATCAGAATCACCTGGGGAGCCTCGCGGACTAGCTCACAGCCGCCCCCACCACACAGCCCACGGGCGCTTACCCTCTGAGTGCAAGCCCAGGCATCCGGTCTTTGCAAAGCTCCCAGAGGGTTCCCCGGGCAGCCAGGCTGGGCAAGACCATGCACACTTGAATTCCATCAGCAGCAGGGCGCTACTGTCGGATAACTCGGAGACCTGACTCGGTCCGCACCTTACCATGGAAGTTTCACCGCCCCGGGTTCTCAAGGATCGGACTCTGGGATTCCGTTCTATCCGACGCCATGCGTACCCGTTTCCTCCTGTTGATGTAGTAGCAATCGTCCTCCAGCTTCTTCTTCAGAACGTCGGGGATGTCTATAGTGATTGCCCTTTCGTCCATCGCCCTTTTCCTGCGCGGCTCCAGTTGTCCCTTCTGCGACATTAAAATGGCATATTTTTAAAACGTCATAAAACAGGAGGAGAGACCATGTCCAGAGGACGAACACTTGAAAGCCTCTATGATACAAAGCCAGTTAATCCTCCACATGTACCCCAGTAATGATACGTGTTCTGATGAAAAGTGCATGAAAGGCCACATTCACTCGTTTTAGGCCACTAACCGCATTGCAAATGCTTTCTTTTCTTCCCATTTCATTTCACAAGTAGGACTGAAGGCAGGCAGGATGCTAAACTGATACACAGCATTTAGAAATAGTCACCATTGTAACAATCAAGTTCGCAATGTCATTGAAAAGTAACAGGTCGCTATGACTTGTGCAAATACTTTATGGCTGTAAAGAGCCACTGAGAGGGTCATCCGGTGACTATAAACGAGTTACTTTCCCTTAAATATGAAGTGCGACTTTAGAATATTTGGTTAAAAATGTATTTTTACCAAATGATTCACGACTGGAGAGTTCTACCACTAAAATCAACACCAAAGAGTTTGCACAATGAAACCTTTACCACTTCAGTCTTTTCTTCAATGTCACTTTCTTCACTTATTGCGCCATCCTTTTCTTCACTGCTGTCACCAGAGGAAGTGCTTACAGCTAGGTGAGACACAAACACCAAGCAAGCCTGGGTTAGCCACCTCCCCAGCTCTTCCAGGTCCTTAGGGTGGGATGTGTCCTACTGCCGGTATCCACCAACTGCAGTCCTACATATATTTTAAATGCTGAATGCAAACATCGTACCTTTCAGAATGGAAATTTATTTGGAAAAACGTAACACCGATTTCAATGAATGCAAAACACACCCAAGAAAATGATCTGAGCCCTAGCCGCTTTGGCTCAGTGGATAGAGTGTCAGCCTGCGGTGGACTGAAGGGTCCCGGGTTTGATTCTGGGTCAGGGCAGAATGCCCCGGCTGCGGCTCAATCCCCAGGAGGGGGTGTGTAGGAGGCAGCCGATCCATGATTCTCTCTCATCATTGATGTTTCTATCTTTCTCCCTCTCTGAAATCAATAAAAATATATTTTTAAAAAGAAAAATAAAGACAATGATCTGGAAGTGTTTAGTCATCTAGGATCCCACGGTTACCTGCTGTGTTGGAAAGTGAGGCCCAGACCCAGGCACAGGAGGTACCATGAGAATGGACTCCTGAGGGATGAGTATAGACACTGGCCGAGAAGGCAGCGATCGGAAGCATGTCTGATGAGGAGGAATTATGAACTTAACGACTGCTAACTTACTTGTCAAAATCGAAAGGGGCAAATATCATATGTAATGAGCTAAAAACCTTTCCCTGTGTAATTTCAATGATTCCTCCCCCTCAGTCCTGCAGTATAAAAGAAGTAGGTGAAAGTTCTTTTATGATTATTTTTTAAATATATTTTTATTGACTTCAGAGAGGAAGGGAGAGGGAGAGGGAGAGAAAGAAACATCAATGAAGAGAGAGAATCATGGATCGGCTGCCTCCTGCACGCCTCCTACAGGGGATGGAGCCTGCAACCCGGGCATGTGCCCTGACCGGGAATCGAACCGTGACCTCCTGGTTCATAGGTCGGCGCTCACCACTGAACCATGCTGGCCGGGCGGTAAAAGTTCATTTAACCAGAGAAAATAACAAAATAACTCAGGCCACTCACAGTTCTCATCACTTTTATCTTTTTCTTCAACGGGGAGGCTTTTTAAGACAGAATCGACACCAGGCAATCGGCAGCGCTTCTTCTTTCTTCCTGTGCTTCTGGAAAACAAACAAAAAAACACACACGACTGAAATAAATTTTGATGTTGACTGATAAGGGCCTCAAGGTAAAAAAACAAGATAGAACAACAAAGATTCTTAAGCACCCGACAAATAATTAAGCTGTAGAACATAAATGGTGATCTCCACTTCAGATTATTACATATATACAACATCTCCTTGGAAAACACAGCAGTTATTTACAATACAACACAGACACTCTTTGCGAACACATTTTTAGTAAGTCCAATTGCATAATAAGCCATGCTTGTCATAGGTTTACTGTTATAGCCTAAAAATTCTACACATTAAGAGAAAACACATTTGTCAGGACTGTTGTATTCTCACAGGCGAGCTACAGCTTTTCTTGCCAGTTTCCGCTGTAATCTCCGATTTTCGTCGGTATCTCGCAGGACATGATCTTCAGCTGCCCACCTATCCCAGCTACAAAACAAACAAAAAAGGATAGAAAATTCAGTATTTTAATTCGCTATAAAACAAATGCCAACAGCATCTCACAGGAACAGAAATGTCCCAGAACTACTTACATTTTGGAAAACGATTTAAATATTTTAAAGCCACAAAAAATGCAAATAAACTGAAAAAGGAACTCATTTAGCCATAGAAGCAACTGGGGCTTCCAGAATTACCCATAGAGAACTCAAATATAATCAACTTAAAAGTTATCATTCTTCTGCATAGGCAAAGTTTGATTTCAAAAAGCAAAAACTGGACATGAAACTTTTCTACAAGTGTTTCTAAAACTTAACAAAACCCCAGGTTCCTGTGCTGCAAAGATGATCAATTTTCAGCCAGATCTAACAAATACACTCACCTTCTGTTCCAACCATTAAAATGGATTAGATATTCTGGAATCTTTCTGCCTTTTTCGTCTTTCCCAACAATAACATCCACAATCTGAAACCAGAAAATATTGTCCACAAATGATTGAATATACAGAACACCGGAAGCTAGATCAGGAAAACTAGATCATAGACCTTTTTTGAAAAGAAAAGGAAGTATTCGCTCCTTTTTTAGACCGCGAGCTGTGCTGAAACATTTTTCCTTTCAATTCCATTTTTTTCCTGACTGGATGCCTCAAAAAAGGAAACATCCCTCCAAACTCCCCGTGATTGGTCTCTGAGTGTGGGACTGGGTGCGTCTTTTAAAGCCATTGGCCAGCCAACTTGTCAGTAAAGCAGAGTCCTGGCCAGACAAGAGAGCTGCAGCCTGAGACCTCTGGGAGTTGTAGTCTCTCCAGCTCCACTGTGTCCCCTGAGGGAACATCTGGGGCAAATGATGGGGCGTGTCACCCCAGGGAATACTCATGGCGGGGAAGGAGGAGGGAAATCAGAGACAAGGGTTTCCGGGGCATAAACCTAAAATATAACTCACAGAACCCGGGGTCTTGGGAAGTCCCCCAATGGGCAGCGCTGCTCGGACGCACCTGGGACCCCGGGCCAACCCCACCACCAGACTTCGATGCCCACTCCCTCTCGCCGTCCAGACCTGAGGGGCTACAGATGGGGCTCAGTCCCCCGCGAGCCCCCTGGTGGGCAGGGGGTGCGACTTGGAGATTGAAAACCTAAAGGCCCTGAGGGAAAGTAACACTGAGTCAACCTAGCCCTTGGACCCTACGGGAGCGTCCCAAGCACGACTGAGGCCCCGGGACAATGACGTCGCGAGTCGACAGGCAGCGCTGTGGCTTAGGACCTGAGTCGGTCGGTGTCTGTGTCACAGGGGAGCCCACGAGGCGCTCCGCGCAGGACGAAAGGACTTAAGGCGCCATTCCGTGAGCGGTCTCCTGGACACACAGCCCACGCTGCGGTCACGTACGCAAATCGACGCACGGCGAAAACCTCGCGAAACCTCGCGACCTTTCAGACCGCGCGTGCGCAGTCCCGTACGCCGGCCGGAAGCGGAAGCACTCCTGCCCCGAGTCCCCAGCGCGGCGCCCGCGAGCTCCCCCTGCCTTCCGCGCGCTGCCGCGCAGGCCCAGGTGTCACAGGCAGGGAGCACCCAGGCCCGGCGCTTCCCCTTCTCCAGCGGCATCCTGGCCCGAACCACACCCGCATCCCGCCCCGGGGTCCCCGACCCGCGCCTCCTCCCTGTCCCTCCGCGGCGGCACCTTGGCATCGTACAGCACTCGCGCCTTGGTGGGGTCAGGCTCGAAGCACAGGACTTTCTCCCCTGAGTGGAATTTAAATTTCATGCCCTCGCTCGCGCTCATTTGCTCATCGTGGCGGAGGGCGAGGCTCCGGGGCGGGAGGAGCGCGCGCGGTGGGGGACAAGGGGGGGCGGGGAGGTGGTGCACTGCGGCGGGGGGTGGGAGGGAGGGAGCGGGGAATGGCGGAAGGCCGCAAGCCGCCCCCGCCCTTCGGTCCCGCCTCTGCCCGCCCCGAGTCACCGCTGGGACCTCGAAATCGCGGGTTTGCGCGCTCTGTCCCCCACCCCCGCCCACCCCTCCGCGACCCCCGCGAGTCCTCCCCGGGCCCGGGCCGGGTTCGATCGGAGAAGGCCGGCCGCGGCCCGGGTGTGCCCGCGGAGCAGCCTCTCCCGCCCCCGTGGGAAAGGCAGCTGACGCGGGCTGCTCCCACGATGTCATCGCGCCGCGCGCGCGCTCTGTGGCGGGAGTGTGGGAAGTTCCTGGGAGCCAGCGGCCCGGGGTGGAGCTGGCGTGGGGAGGCCGGCCGGCGGCTGCCCTCCAGGCCCTGGCCCCGCCC